TTTGATAAAATAGGATAAAAATTTCTCATACTGAGTCATATATATGTAGCATTTTTCACTTTATGTTCTAGTATTATATGTGTAGCGTATAATTTAAAACCAAAATGTGAGGCTTATTTATCCAAACTGTCTATAATACGACCACAAAAGGGTGATGCAATTTTTGTCAAAGTCTAAATACCAACAAATAATTCATTAAATTTCCGCATACTGTAATCATAGCTAAAAGCTAAGGCAAAGTGAATAAATGTTGAAGATTGAGGGTATTTTAATGTATGACACTGTTAAGAAGGAACTAAAATCATGAAAAAAAGTTTAATTTAGAAATCCATTAAATAATTACAAAGAAATAATGTTATAATCATTTTATAATGTTGATGCTGCGTATCAGCTTTTAGTATTTTAAGATGATACTAAAAATACTGTATTGTGTTAAATAGACAAATTAAGAACTTCATGTCATTTTGATAATTAGTTACTAGTTACGTAATCTTTATACTTAAGTTTAAACAAACATCACACAATTATCTTTTAAACCCTTACTCATTAAAAAATATTGAGCAAATGCAAATATTATCTTTTAGAGGAAAAGAATAATTCCGTTAGCCCTATTAAAACAATAATATATTATTATATATAGGATTTTATACACTCCAGAAAAGAGAACATGCTGAAATAAGAAAACATACAGAAAAAGAGAACACATGCTTTTTCAAGATGCCTGGTTTTAGTAAATTTGAAACTTCTTTCTTTTTATATGTAAATTTCTTTATTTCAAATCAAGAGATCTAATTTTAAAGAATCACTTGTCAACAGGCATCTGTGCATCTTATCACATGCAAATTTTATAGACTAATACTGCTGAGCATAATCAACTTACGGAAATGTAGTTTGGGTTTTACTAATAGAGATAAAGACTATATTTCAATATGTCATAGAGTATATTTCAAAGTAGGTTTAGAATCTATTTTAAATGATCATACCAATAGAAAATTCAGTTGCATCAGCACTTACAGTAGACTTCCGTAAGGAAATTGACCATAAGGCTAGAGTCTGCACATGAGCTTATTTCTTTCAGTTTTGAATACTTGCTTTATCAACATTAGGAAATGAACTCTTCTGTATTCAAGCATTTTTACTGCACAGGTAAGAAATATTCTTAACAAATCAGTCAAGGGCTCTGAAAATAATTCATTATTCTCAGCTGTTTGCAGAGGATAAAAAAACAAGAAGATAAAGGAAATCTCACTTTAACTAATTTACTTATCACCTTTTTGTCAATGTCTTAGAATTATCCGTGTGAGCCAAGTATAGCTATGGAAGCAGCCCTTATTTCAGACATTAAATATTCTTAGAAATCTTGTATTGGTGAATTGTAAATGACATCCCTCAGGAACTATAGAGGTGGACGGATACCTGGTCAAAGCCATTTTAGTATCTAATAAAACATGACCAACAATGTGTCATAAAACTAAATATGCAATTATAACCTTTTGTAATGATTTAAACTATAGAGCAATCATCTTTTAGAGCTAGAAGAAAACCACAAAGATCGCTAGCCAAGGCTTTCATTTTCTGTATGAAGAAAGCACCCAGTGAAGCCAAGCTAACCAGCCGTCTATGGTTTCAGCTAATTAACTGCAGAGCCAAGACAAGAACTTCTCTTTTCTGATTCCCAGTGGAGAGCATTCTCTTTTCAGAATACTTTCTTTAGAGAAATTCTGTTAGAAAAACATGAAAGTATGGACACATTAAGTATACAAAAACATCCAAAGGACTATTAAACATAAAAATATAAATTTATCATGAATTTGACTTAAGATCAATATGTTAGCAAAAATGAACACAATTTAATTAATTCATTTTATTGTTGATTTATTCATTTATTTTGCATTCTAAGAAAGACTCTTTAAGACTGATTTAGGTAATAGTTCAGGTCATTTTTCTTTAAAGCTGTAAGGGATATTTTGTGCGTTGTCTTTTTTTCATTCAGGTTAGCATAAGTTTTCCAAATCATACCTTCATTACTTAGATTAGAATGTTTAAAAATAGCTCTTGTGATATCTAAGGAATTGAAATCTTGAAGCATTTTTAGTTGCAAGGATTTAGAGCCTTGCTATTCAGCGTCTTCCACAAATCAACAGCATCAGAATCACTGGGAAATTTGCTAGAAATGCAGAATCTCAGCTTCCCCTTCCCTGGACCTGGACCCCACGAGTCAAAATCAATATGTGAACAAGATCCCAGGTGATTCCGATGCACATTAGATAGAGTTTGAGAACCACTTACTTAGTCACTAATCTCAGAACTTGGTCCTGTGTGTTGTCATTTCCTTGTCTCTTTCTTCCTTGCTTTTCTTTTTTCGTCTCCACCCCCCAAAAAGGAACATAAAAATATCTGTGTGTGCTTTAATAAGCAAAAAGAAGTTCAAAAGCGTGTAGAAGGGAGGAGAGGAAATATATCTTTTCACTATGATATGGTATGGGGGACTAAGTGGCTAATTATATGTATATGTCTTTAGAATGTTTTTAGCATCTAGCAGATCAACATTCTTTTTCCTCTTCTAATTCCCTCCAGTCATTATTCATAATGGCCCCTGCTCCCAAAACCAAGGTTGTATAACTACATTGAGAACTGGAGTACAGGAGTTAATTATACAGTGTTGAATTTACAGAAGGTGAGCCACAAAGCATCCAAAACAGAGACTGCCTGTTCCAGTTAAGGACAGAGAGTGGCAAAGGATTTATTGCAGGTTATATAACCTGGAAACCACAGTGAATAACAGGCATTGTGAGGCAGAGGAGAAATGATTGTGATTAAAAGCAAAGTAAAATACCTAAGTGTAGGCCTCCATATACAAAGATGACTCTGGTGAGATTTTCTTCTAGTGAGTAAGTGATTGAAAGACTAGTGTAGTGATTAAGAGCTTAGACTCTGAGCTAAAACTTTCTTGGTTCAAATCCCAATTCATTTACTTCTTGGCTCTATGACTGGGCAAGTTACTTAACCTCTCTAAACTCTTCATTTGAAACTAGGGAAAAGAATAGAACCTACCTCATGGGGTTATTGGAAACAGTAAATGAGAAAATCTCTGTAAAGAATAGTTAGCAGTGTCTGAAACATAATAAGTACTCAGTAAGTGTTAGGGTGTGTTTGTTAATTAAGATTCTTCTCATCAGTTTTTCTTGCACACAATAGCGTTAATTTAGGTAGTTTTTCTGGGATTTGGCTGTGGCTGTGTCCACGACAAAAAGCTGCAGCTTTAACTGCAGGAAATTCTCTGGAGCTAAAGAGCGAGTGTCTGCTGGTCACCTCTAGAATAATGACTGCTGCTATGGCCATGCCGCCCTGAACAAGCCCGATCCTGTCTGATCTCGGAAGCTAAGCAGGGTCAGGCCTGGGTAGTACTTGGATGGGAGACCACTTAGGAAGACCACGTGCTGTAGGCGTAAAAAATAAAAAACAAGAGATTATAAGCTGTGCCTCACTTAGCCTCTCAAAAAAAAAAATACTCCTGTCAACAGCCGTGCCACCCTGATCTCATCTGATCTCGAAAGCTAAGCAGGGTCGGGCCTGGTTAGTACTTGGATGGGAGACCACCTAGGAAGACCAAGTGCTGTGGGCATAAAAAAATAAAAAACAAGGGATTATAAGCTGACAAGGTCCTTGCAATCTTTGAGGTCAACCAAGGGTTGCCTCGCCTAAAAAAAAAAAAAAAAAGGTTAGAATAATGACTGCTATGCCAGCTATGATGGCGGTGCTCCTGGTAGGGAGTGTGATGGAAAAAATGAGAAATATCATACATTCCCTTGAGGCACTTAGATTCTGTATTGTAAAAGATAAGATATACACATATATGGAAGAAAAATTCAACAGATGATTCCAGAGCAACATGTTCGCATGTTGAAAATCATACCATATAAATTAGGACATTTGGAGTGATTGAAAGGCAACCATCAATATTGTTCATTAACAGCTTTTATTTTCTTTAGGTGTCTTCTACAAAGAAGGTAGAAAGAAAGAACAGATTAAGTGAAACTATAGTTTGACCTGCACTAAAGACTTTTATCTCTTTTTTTAAACATAGAAACTTTTGAATCTTGATTTAAAAGCTAACTAAGCACTAGAGGGCAGAATGAGAGAAAATGGTGATGTTGATATGATTAAAATAGCTGCCAACTCACCCCTCACTGTGGTTATATGAACATAGAATATAGGCAAGAGGGTGAAATTCTAAAGGGTGCCAATCAGATAGAGTTCTATAATTTCACCATTCCACTTATACTGACTACTTTTTAATACTTTCCAAGGAATCCAGGCTTTGGAGAAAATGGGAAAATAGAGAAAGTTTAGAAATGTTCAACAGAAGGGCTGTAAATCAGATGTTAAGATGAAACATTATAAAACTTGAGGTATTTTCCATCTCGAGGAATTTAGGAAGGAAATGTGGCTTCAAATAGATGGTTTAGAAATAGTCATGTAGAAAACAATGTTGATTCCTTGTCCTCTGTACTCTGCCTTCCCTGCTGCTCTCCCTGTAAGTTCAGAGCCCTTTTAGATGCTTCTGTCTGCAGGTCTGGAGGAGGTGGGTGAGGAGGAGACCGATTTGGGCTAGGGAGTGGGGATGGAGAATTGGTAGCAGGAAGGCAGTCACTAGCAATGGCAGTAACATCTGGGGGAAATGAAAAAACCCTGAACTAAGGCCTCAGCAATAGGGTGAGAGGTAGAGAAAGTTTTTAAAGGTCACTTGTGAATTTTTCTGCCATGGACATCTTTAAAATGGAGGAAAAAATAAAATACTGGTCAGGAATAAACACCCAGGGCCATCTCTAATTCTACAAACAAGTGAAAATCAGCATCTGTCAGGGGATGGTTAAATATCCTGCAGGGGTCACTCAGCTCCTGGCTAATAAATACTTTCAACCCGAGATTCTCTTCAAATGTTTGGTTCACGGTCTGTGATTCACCATCTAATCTTTCTTTGTTTCTTTTTTCCACAGTGCTCATGTATCCCAAGTCAGCAATGTTTCAACAACTGGAGAGTAAGTTACTTGAATTGAGTTTTCCCTTCTCCTTTCCCATTTATTAAACAGAAGAAAAGCAGTTCTAATGTTGGATAGTACTGGAAGGTTAATACAATAAGCAACCAAAAGATTTTGAAAGTTACACGGAGAAGAGCACTAAATAAGAAGTGTTCCTGTTTGAGCTTCCGTGTGGATGTGTGACCAGAGATAGCTCTGCTGTTTAAACATATGAGATTTTTATTTATTTCAGTCTAAATAATGTCAGAGTCAATATTTGCAAAGCAAGCTGTATACTTTGGGAGGTATCTTGCATTGGAGGATGCCATTAAAGGTTATTAACCGTGTCTTTACTTCTTTCTTTATTAATTTTAGTCAGCCTACATTTATTGTATGCCTGCAGTATGCCAAGCATATTGATGCAGGTGTGTAATGTCAAATTAGCTTTGGGCTCAGCTTTCAGGGACATCACAGTTTAATAGGGACACAGAAAAGAAAGCAAATTAGTGATGGCAACAAGTCCTTTTTTCACGGGGCAGTAACGATGCTTTTTTAATTACGTCCATCACGTCTTTTTCCTCATAAGGCTACCAATTGCACTTCGACTGAAATCTAAACTCCAGCTATCTGCTCTTTTCTACGTCTCTGACCACATTGCTCATTATGCTTCAACCACGTGATCATGTGTTTCTGGAACAGGCCAAGCATGTGTCTACCTCAGAGCCCTTGCACTGGCTGTTCCTCAGCCTGGCGTTTCACTTCCTATCATTCACCTTTTTGTTCAAATGTCATCTCATTTGAGAAGTCATCCCTGACTACCTGCAGTCACTCTCTAGCCCTGTACTCTCTTTTGTAGAAAATGTATCACTTTCATCTTCAGTATGCACTTTTATGATTTGTTTGTTATCTTTTCTCATAGTAGTGTATATATTCTGTCATATTCATGGCTATATTACTAACACTTAGACAAGTGCCTGGCATATATTAGTCACTAAATAAATATTTGCAAATAGTTCCTTGCCAAAGCTTTTCCATTACACCCAACTCACTTCCTTCCTTGCCGAGATATTGTCGGCATTTTGGAGCATCTTCCATCAGCAGGGGTCAGATGGAGGAGGGGAAGATGTGATAGGATAAGGAGGAAGAGAGGAGAGTTAAAAGAAGCGCTAATTGGCATGAATCTGGATCTTATAGGATGAATTGGGATTTTTTTTTCTGTTAAGTAATCTTGAATCATTAGGACGTAGAGTTCTAAATATAAAAGTTCTAATGCCCAGGTTAGAGCATATTTGCTCATTATCTTGAAATAGTTTTATTGAAATTACTATGAGTCTATTATAAACTATACTTGGAAAATCTAAACTTCTTAAATTTTTCAAAATTTAGTTTAAGTGAATATTTTTCAATCTGAACATTTAAAAAATATTTATGCAGTTCTTTTTTTAATTTTAACAGCTTTATTAAAGTGTAATTGATATACAAAAACTACACATATTTGTTACTTTTTTATTAAAATTATTGGGGTGACATTGGTTAAGAAAATCAAATAGGTTTCAAGTGTACAGTTCAACAATATATCATATATATTGCATTGTGTGTCCACCACCTAAAGTTAAATTTCCTTCCATCACCATATATTTGACCCTCTTTATCCCTATCTACTTTCCCCCTGCCCCCACTCCCCTCTGGTAACCACTAATCCATTGTCTGTGTCCATGAGTCTCTCTTTGTTATGTTTGTTGCTTTCAGTTTTATATTCTCTGTATGAGTGAAATCATATGGCTCTCAACTTTTTCTGATTTATTTCGCTTAGCATGATTATCTCAAGATCTATCCATATTGTCACAAATGGCAGTATTTCATCTTATGGCTGAGCAATACTACATTGTATATATGAGCACATATTATGTATAATTTGATGAGTTTGGATGTGATTCTTTTTTCAAACATGTTTTGAGGAGTAGATGTTTAGATTTTTTTTTTATGCCAGCTTATTCAAAATTAAATAGTGTGATGATGAAAGAGGGTTTAGATACATTGAAAGATTACGTAGCTTTAAAAATAATACCTTATCTTATCATGTGCTCTTTTCAGTCTGTGTGCTTTCCTCTTTTCTTAAGGTTGGACAAAATCTATTCTTCAGTAATATATATTGAGATGTTTGTATGAATACAACTTCAAATATATACTTCACAATTAATTGATTAGAGGTTCAGAAGGATTTTGCCATTCCCTTATGAGTGGTAATTGTTCTGGTGAGGTGTTCTTTTTTAAATAGCATTACTCCCTATATAATTTTATTTTAAAGGGATTCTAAATAGAAAATAGGCATCATAAAATTATTCGTGCCAGTTTGCTTTGTAAATCATGTTGTTTTCCTCTGCAGAACTGGTATGAAATCTGGAAGGAACTCACCTTTGTAAGAATAGTTCATTCCGCCTTATATTAAATGAATGACCCTTATTTCCTGAATGCCTCCTATAATTGTTACAGGACTTGCTGTGAGCATTTCAGTAATCTTGGACTCAAAAGATAAGAGGCATGTTATCAAATTGGTGGAATTTGTTCAGTTTAGTTGTTTTTAATGCACAATGCAAATATTTTTGAGATTAGTACTTCATACACTGTCTTTACTCATGAAGTTGTAGATCTTCCATTGAAAATACCAATATTTCCAAATGTATGGACACATATTTTTAAAGGCAATCACTGATAAACTTGATTGCTTGATTTACTTTTTTTTATTTGGTTGGTTTTTTCTTTTTTTACCAGACTCTTAGAAAGAACTATCCGGTCAGCTGTAGAACAGCATCTTTTTGATGTTAATAGCTCTGGAGGACAAAGTTTGGAGGACCTGGAATCTGGAACATCGTCAGCATCTTCCACAACACCCGCCAGACAGCGACGACGCCAATCCAAGGAGCAGGATGAAGTTCGACATGGCAGAGACATGTGAGTCGGTGTTGGTACTTCTTGTTTGTGTTTTCTGTTTCTTTTAAAAATATACACCTGTGTCAAAGTCATTCCTGTTTCAATATTTAGGTTAAAATTTTAAAGTTTTCATTTTGACCATTCTACACTTAGCTAACATTTGGAAATTTGTGGGTGATTAATTAAATATTTCAATGTCATCTAAATGTTTGATATGTTGTAGGAGGCCACCTCTAACTGAATACAGCTTCCTCATGAATATCTTATTTCAAGGGATTCTGAACAACTGGAGGAGTAAATTGCTATATGCTTGTCCAGAAGGTAGTCTTTTCCTTGTTAGTGTTCAGTTGGCTGTTAGACTAGCTTATGAATGAGCAGATTTTTCTATTATATATACCTGGTTAAATACTAGAATATCACTATAATACTGTTGACAGTTGATTATTTTTAGTGTAAGAAAGGTTGAGTTTAGGTCTAATCAAAAGTGGAAATGCTTGAGTTCTTTATTATTGTAATGACTCAATCCAGTGCATTCCCACAGCATGAATTTCAAGAATAGTATTACAAGGAACTTTATTCTCCATTAAAAGATTTGATAAAGTACAGATGAACAATTACCATTCATAGTATTGAATAATCATGATTTAAATTGTTAAGGAAAATAAGTATGTAATAGACTATATTCATGTATTTTTCCTGAAGGTTTTAATATTTTTATCTACTGTAGAATTTAGCCTCTATAAAATTATTGTTTTGAACTCATTGTTAAATGTCAAAGACTAAGCCAGACCCTAGTTCCCATTATTCTTTTTCACCTGGACTCATAATATACATCAAAATCTTTATTAAAAAAAAAAGTTTTTTTGCTTAAAGACACAAAAGTAAATGGTATAAATAAATCCCATACTGCACATCATTGATATATTTAAGAGTTTGTAATAAATGTAGTTTTAGAAGTAAAACAGTGTCAACAGTATAACCCACTGACTTTTTAAGTGACATAAGCAGCACTTTTTTCCAGTTTTATTGTGAAATAATTGACATATATCAGTGTATATATTTAAGGCATAAAACTTGATGGTTTGAGATGTATATATTGTGATATAATTACTTCAATAGGTTCAGCTAACCAGCACTTTTTAAAAAAACATTTATCTTGGAGCTGGTGGATAGGGATGGGTGCTATAATATTCTCTTTAGAAAATAGAAATATTATGATACAGAAGATATTTACATTTAAAATCAGCTACTGACTCAGCTTTATAGGAAGTGTTTAAGATTATGTTAATTTGTGTACTGCTTAAATTGTGTTATACAGCAAGTACAAATGATTCATTTAACATTCTTCTTATCCTCTGTCTCATTTTTTGCCAAATGGTATGTAGCAACACTTTGTATTTTTAAAATATCCTTGGTGTGTCAGTAATCATGCTTTCCAATCTCTTTGTTTAGACAGAGGGATAGCAAGCGGAGGTTGGAAGTGGTCGTGAGCCTGGTAGGACAGAGATGGACAGTGGTAGTGGTGATGGTGGGTGCGTGGTGTCAGGCAGGGAAGGAACACTGGGGGATAAGGTCAAAAATGAACAGGAGCCGGACAAGGGGTAACCTCTACTGCACATTTTAAATATAGTTTCCAGAGTTGCTTTTAGTACAAGTTATCTTGATTATATTTTACTGTCAATATCAGGGGAACAAAAGGAGATAGAGAATAGTAAAGACTAATCATCTAAACACCTATCAAACTTTAGCCTTTTCCTTAATTTTTCTTCTCTGGCATGCCCTTCACTACTCATTCTGGTCACTCATGGTCAAGTCATAGCTATGCATTGAGTGAGAGAATCTTGGGATGTAAATTGTATATAGCCAAGTAACTTAGCAAATAGTGTCACCTTAGTCTTTCTTCTTAGTATGTGCTCTGGGCATTCAAAAGTCCCCTTCGTGTTCTCCTAGTCATGAATACCTCTTCTAAGCTGACACTGGGTCACTATCAAGTCTTGATAGTTCTTCTTCAGCTCCCAGCTCTCTAGGCTCCTTCAGCTAGTTCTTCTTCAGCTCCCAGCTCCCAGCTCTCTTTTGAAAAGTGAGACCCTTATCTCTCAGGGCCCCAGAGCGACTCACTTTTTTTCCCTATGAAGGTTCTCTCCAATATGTCCCTAGGAGATACACTAACATGACATCAATTGTGAGAAGGTTAAGAATCATTTTTATAGCCTGTAGTATGTTTTTCTCAGTATATGCTTATATGTAATTGATTAATTTATCTAAGATAGTCATCAGACTTTCCTTGAAAAATAAGTAATGATTAAGCGAGACTTTCTATATTCTATTCAAAACTAATAGCCCTATGAAATGGTTATAAAAATGTTTTGAAAAATAGAAATTTATTGAAATTCATAATTCATCTATTTTGCCTCTAACAACTTAGAGCTGCAACTATATATAAAAAAAGTCCTTCAAGCCAATGATGACCATATTTGAAAATGAGATTAAAGAATCAATAAATTCTATACCAAAATCTTCATAGCAGATTTTTGAAATAAGCAATATGGAAGTTCAACTAAGATGATAAATATTTCATTTTAGTGCACATGGTTTCTTGTCTAAATTCATAAGGGAACATCAGGCTTATATTATTATTTACTACAATAAAAATAGAAATTTAAGCAATATGTTTATTATGTGAAAGTGTTCAATTTAATTTATTTATTAAAAAATTTACCATCTGTGGGTACATGGAAATAGTCTTGAATCTTGGTGATGGGTATATGAAGTTTATTGTAATAGTCTTTTTTTCTGTGTGTTTGAAAATTTCATAATATTTTTAAAAAGCATAGCTTCATTTAAGTGAAAATTGTTTCAATTTTCCAAAACACAACTAACTGGAAAAAAATTTTTATAGAAATATATTAAATTCCTACTGCAAAGTAATAAGAAAAGCATGCTATGTTAGGGGAATAATAAATGGTTCAGTATTGCTAGAACATTAAGTGTGTATGTAGGGGTAAGGAGGGAGTTCTAGAAAAAAACTAGAAATAAGATCTAGATTTTGAGAGTGAGAGGTCACAGAGCTCTAATTTCAGGTCAAAGGTCAAAGATAAATGACGTCAAGTATGATTGAAACCTGTCGGAATGTTGCCAAAGGAATTGTATACCAGTGCTTTTCACAGGTACTGTGGCTGAGAGGCATTGACTCACGACAGCGAGACTTTCCGTTGAGGACAGGATTTCCACATGAGCACAACGCACAATCGGATTTTCATATATTTATTTGGATAGGATTTATTCCAGCCATTCATTCACTATTCAAAAAGATTATAAAATAAACTTTGTCTTTTAATTTCTAAAAATAATTTTTAGCTTTTGCGTTAGTCTGCTCAGGCTCCCACAACAGAGTACCACAGACTGAGGGACTTAAACAACAGAAATTTATTTTCTCACCGTTCTAAGAGACTAGAAGTCTAAGATCAAGGTGCTGACAGAAATGGTTTTTGCTGAGACCTCTCTCTTTGGCTCGCAGACAGTGCCTCCCTACTGTGTCCTCACTGTAGCCTTTCTTCTGTGTGCATGCTCTTTGGGTGTCTCTTCCTCTTCTTATAAGGACACCTGCTCTATTGCATTAAGCCCCCACCTTAGTGACCTCATGTAACCTTAATTCACTTCCTTAAAGCCCTTATCTCCAAATACAGTCACATTGGGGATTAGGACTTCAACATATGAATTTGAGGGGAAACAGTTTAGTCCATAATAGCTTTCAAACATAAAAACCCCTCCATTAAAAAACTGTAATTGGATATTTATCCCCAGGAGTTTGAGAAAATGTAAAGAGTAACGAGAAGACAGAATTTAGTGAAACAAACAATTTTGAATTTCAGACCAAACTTACCCAGCCATCCACATAAGGCACTGCTCTCAGTGCATGGCGGGGAGACAGTTAAGAGTGTTTGCATGAATATATGTGTTGGCATGTTAGTCGCTATCAGCTTTTCTTCATGTCTTCAGTTATTTTCTTATAAATGTTATACATATCTTTTATATAATTTTACTAAATTTATATATTTTTATGTTAAAAGTTATATAAAATAAGAATAAATTTAAAATGGTGTATTAAAAATCACCAAAGATGAAACTTATTGGATTTTGTTAACCAATGTCACCATTAAAAAATAAATAAATGAATTGGAAAAACAAGAGAACTACAAAAAATAAATAAATATATAAATAAAAATCACCAAAGACAGTATAACTGTCATCTATTTTTACTCTTTAGAGCTTATTTATTCCAAGGTATAGCTTTAGGTGTTTAGTAGGTGCCTTTAGGCTCATACCATGGAGAAGAGTAAATTTCATTCGTCTCTTACCAAGCCATGGTGCTGCACTGATGGTTTCATTTGTTCTGTGATGTAGTGAAAGATAAACATTTTGCTAAGTAATTTAATTTTATGGAAAACTCTTAAAAGGGAATGTTTAAAATACTTAAACTGTTTCAAGAAAATAATGGATTCTATAATTATGACATTCCTATCTACTTTTAAAACTAAGTCATGAAGGACCTCCAGTTATATGCTTACTTCCTGGAACTCCTTGTACTAGGAAGTAAAAAATTCATATTTCAGTTAAAATGCTTTATATTCCATAGTTTTTATTATTTCTGCCAAGATTATCTAACACAGATTTAGACATTAATTCGGTTCTACTATACCAAAATGTCTTTATCATTTGGGGAAATCAATATGTCCTATTCTAGAGATATATCAGCATATTTTCTTTTCAGATTTTCTCTATATATCTATAAGATATATTTGTGTGTGTATGTGTGTATAATCTTTGACTAATGGGCAATTATTTTTGTTAGTTTGCACTGGCCTCTCTGTTTGACTACAAATTACTTTTGGTACAAATGCAAAAGCTGTTCATTGGTAGAAACACAACTCTTGCCAGTTTGCCTCTAGGAATAATTTCTCTTTTAATGACATTGAATTAGCACCAAGAGGTCTTACGAGTGGCACTCTGCACATTTTGATCAAAAATGCAAACCAAAATTTCTAGGCACTCTTCTGACATCCTATGTGATGTAGCGGCAGTGTCATTAGAATGTCCTTTTACCTTTTAAAATAAAATTAAGCCAATTTTTTTTTTTTTCAATTCAAGGGGACTTTTCAACAAAGAAAATATTCCTTCTGGGTTCACCAACCTTGATGATTGTATTTTGAATGCTCAGGAAGAGGAAAAATTACATGAAAATACTTCCGGTTATATTGGAGAAAGAGGCAAACCTAAACGTCAGAAATCCAGTTCCAAACTTTCTGAGCTTAATGAAAATCAAGATGGTCTTGTGGTAAGTGAATAATTTTATAAAATTTTTACTTGTAGACATTTAGAAAATATCACATCTTTTTTCCTTGCTTTGTAAAAAATAAAAAATTTTAATCTTAAGTTTCACAGAATTATAAAATATGAGTTCTGAAAGAGATCTTAGAGCTACTAAGTATACACATTTGTATTTTTTTAATAAATATAAAAATCAAGGCTGAGAGGGATTACATTCTGCCAAAGGAACCAGAGACAGCACACACCTTAATTTCCTTACTATATAAGTCGGTCTGATATAAAAAGCCTTGATTATAATAGAGAGGGATTACATTCTGCCAAAGGAATCAGAGACAGCACACACCTTAATTTCCTTACTATAGAAGTCGGTCTGAATTTTGTCTCATTCTTTTGATTATTTTTTAATTTTATTTTTGGAACAAAATTGCCAGTAATTCGCATTTTTCCTTGTTTTCCCCCATTCCATTTGTTCTTATGAATATGTAGAAAACAATTTTTGATGAATGAACTTAAAACGAGGTCAAAGAAAAATACAAAGGGAAACAGGATCAACTATCTTTGTGTTTAGAAATCTGTGTTCAGAATTTATTTTCAAATCTATATTCTATCAAGTATTTTCTTCCAAATTAATCAGAAACACAGAAAAATTAATCTCCTACACAGTTACCTCAGACATTTCAACGGGAGAGCTTAATTTCATTTTGGATTTTTTTATGTAAAGGATTTGCCCCCAACTTAGTTGCCAGTTTCCGCATTCCAGGATTGTGCATGTCACATGTTAACATAAGTGAGCTAAGTGGACCATGTCTTTGTTGCAATGAATAATTTAAAACCTTGCCAACACAATTTAGACAGAGGAAAAACATTCCTCCTCTGTAATGTGAGGGTGTTCTCTCAGATCTTTCCTAACTCTCATAATCCATTAATTTTTAAATTGAATCTTCATAGATAACCACAAAGCAAAAAGCCAGGAATATAACAATGATTAGTATTCAGACTGCATCCCAAGAGTTAAGTTGTTCATCTCAACATCCCACTTATTTTTAATCCCCCTAATTTTACTTTCCCCAACTCTCCTTCAAAATCTTTTCTACTCCATTTCAAGTTCTTTGCACCCTGACTAAACATTTGTTTTTAAAGTTTGAAAAACTATTTCAGCTCCTAGGGATACAGCAGGGAGAAAAACAGGCAAAAGCTGTTGCTCTTGTGGAGCTTGCATTCTATTAGAGAAAACAGGCAATAATCAAGTAAAACAAACAAAACATAGGACATATTAGTGATAATCACTAGAAAGAAAAAAAAAGCAGAAATGGGAACAGGCATCGTGAGGGACCAGGGGCTACAATTTTAAATAGAGTAGCCAGAGAAGACCTCCCCAAAATTTGACATTTGAGCATAAATACCTAGAGGAAGTAAGGAAACAAGCCAACTATAATAGCAGATGCAAAGGCCTTGAGGCAATAACTTATCTGGAATGCTCAAGAAAACAAAGACATGATTATGTCAAGAAGAGAGTGAGCAAAGTGAAAGAGATGGTGGGGAAGAGGGGGCCCCTCATGGATCATGATATGCCTTTCCTCCGGGTGAGATCAGAATCCATTTGAATGGTCTAGGTAGAATGGTGATCTGACACTGAAATTTGGTTTGACTACTATGTTGAGAATGAACGGTAAAGCAGGCAAGGGGAGAAGCAGGGAAACCAGTTAGGAAGCTACTGCAGTGATGATGGTTTGAAGTCAAGGGATACTAGAGACAGCCTTGCAGGCTGTACAGTGCACCACTCCAGGGGGCACTATTCACATCGACTAAAACTTGAATGGTTCCTTCTGGAGTGGTGTGTTGCAGTAATCATGAGGTAGTAGGTGGGTTCTGAATATATTCGAAGGTAGAATTGACAGAATTTCCTGATATTACCTGTGATATGAAAATAAGAGAAGTCAAAGACAAGGTTTTTGGCCTGAGCAAATAGAAGATTTATGTTGCCAATTAACTGAGTAGGCGAAGACAAGTTTTGGGGACAATATCATAGGTTTGGTTTTGGACATATTAAGATAGAACTGCCCATCAGATACCTAAAAGGAGATATCAGGGAGGCAACTGGATTTCTGGGCCTAGAGCTTAGGGAGGATATCTTGGCTGGAGATAAAATGTGGAAGTCATCAGCATATAGAGGGTGTTTAAAGCTAGTATACTTAATGAGATAACCAAGGGGAGCAAGTATGAGCAGAAAAGAGATGTGGCCTCAGGGACTGTAAGCCTTAAGGAAGGGGTCCCCAGCCTCTGGGATGCAGACCAGTACCTGTTGTAACCTGTTAGGAACCAGTCTGCACAGCAGGAGGTAAGCAGCAGGCCAATGAGCCAAGCTTCATCTGTATTTGCAGCCACTCCCCAGCGCTAGCATCACTACCTCAGCTCCACCTCAGATCATCAGGCATTAGGTTCTCATAGGAGCACCGGTCCCTGGTGCCAAAACAGTTGGGGACCACTGCCTTAAGGCACATCTACATTTAGAGATGAAAACATACCAGTGACTTGGGGTGGTGAACGCACAATGCAATATGCAAATGATGAGTTATAGAATTGTACACTTGAAACTTATATAATTTTATTAACCGATGTCACCACAATAAATTTAATTTTAAAAAAGATACCAGTAGAAAAGACTTAAGGAGAAACCAGCAAAGCAGAAGGGAATGAAGTGAATTCGCTGTCTTGGAAGCCAAGTGAACCAAGTATCTTGAGTTGAAGAGTGGATGATTGATTAAGTAGAAGACTGAGTTTGACCATGAGAATTAGCAAACTGGAGATCACATAATAAGGGCAGTTTTGGTGGGGAAATGAGACGAAAAGCCATTTTCTAGAGAAAATGAGAGGAGAGTAGCTGAAGAGAGTGAGTAATAATTTCACAGTGATGTCACCAGCCCACAACACAGCCAAAGAAAAGAATCTGCTGTAGACCTAAAAAAGCATCTTGCAAATTTGTAATCTCTAAAGTGGGAAATTTCCCCTTTGTCCTTTCACTTCTTGAGGTTGTCGTGACCAGCAGAGACCAAGGGACTACAGATAATTCAGAGCCCAGAAGTTAGTGATAGTAAGTGGCATTAGAGTACGCCGCCTTATCTCTAATTATTACCACCATTCCAGCCTGTCCTTCTCTCCTTAAATGCCTAGCTCATGCCTGTGCACATTAGTCTCCCTTGTTCCCTTATTTACTTGGAAGAGCTAAGACAGCCAGCTTGCGTTTGAGCAACTTACCTCGGTCCTGCTTCAAAATTTCTCTAGGTCTCCACTCATTACATTTTCTTACTTGCTTAAATGATAAAGTAGCTTTTCTAAATTCTAATGTTAACCTCTAAGGTTAAGAAGTATCTTTGGAAATTCTAGTTTCTACATCCATCTCCCCACCCCACCCCCATGTATGTGGTCAGACATACACATACACATGCTTTTCATTGCTTTCTCTCCATTGACTCATTTCTGTTGGCCTAGAAAGTCTCTATCTCTAAAGATTTACTAGGGCACAGTTTAACAGTTTGAATTAAAAGCCATAACTCAGTCATGCAATTTATCCGATAATTCTATCTCTGCCACTTAGTTCTACTTTATTTATATGAAAAAGACCATAAATATTAATTTGCTCACTACAAGTGCGTCTATAATCATGGAAAACTAGAAGCAATTGAAATGTTCAGAAGAGACCAGAGAAGTAACATTTGTATGACTATTTAATAAAATATTAAGTTTAATTCAACAATTAAAATTATGGTTCTGAAGACTATGTAATAAACTAGAAAATACTTAACAAGATGTATAATCCATTAGGTAGCTATTGTTATTATTATTATTTATTATAATCATGAGGCACAAAAGATAAATAACTTGTTCAAGATCACACATCAATGGTGAGGGATTCCATTATACTCTCCCTCAATATTAAAAGTAGGTCGTGAAGCAATATCTAAGTGCATGAATTTATATAGATATATGTATGTATATATATTTATATATGTTTACAAACATATATAAAAATATTTATTCCTAGGGAAAAAAGACTGAAAAAAATTTATCTAAAAATGATTGTATGATTATATCATGGTGGTGGTGGTAATACAAGAGGCAATTGTTACTCCGTCCTCTGTTTTCCAAATATTCTCTGTGTGATCACACTAATTCTATAATAAGCATTACATTTAACATATAAAAAACAAAAACGTGGTTTAGTAGCTCTTTTATTCATAAACAACTTCCATTTGATGTCACGTACACCCTCTGAAATTGCACTCAAGGTTCAGAAAAGGAGCATACGTCTTGCAGTCAGAGCTGAATTTCAGTTCCAGGTTTATCACTTAATAGCTATGGCAAGCAGGCATGGTATTTAGCCTCAGTTACTTCATCTGTAAAATCTGGGATATTAATACCTCATTGTGGGTTTTTGTGAGATTTAAATGCAGTAAGATGTGTTAAAAAAGAGAAAAAACTGAAAATAGTACATATTTAAATTCCTTTCTGTTCCCTCTGCTCTGATGTCCAATCTCCTTCATTTTATCAGATATTTTGAACAGTCTGTACTTATTAGTTCTAGTTTTTTCATACTTGCTCATCAACCCTTGAGGTCCAGATTTTAACCCCACTTCTCTGAATAAACTGCTTTCTCCATGTCATTGGTTGGACCTGTGTTTGGAACTGGCCTTTTAAGACCCTTGTGCTATGTCTGCTCGATCCTTGGCCTCTCTAAGTCCTTGTGGTGCTTGAAACTTTGTCCCTTTTTCTCAGAACTCTTTCTCCCTTGGCCTCTATGATGGTGACCTCTCCTTGTCCTCGTACCACGATGACTATTTTCTACCTTGCTGTACCTTTCACTGGCTAATTTTCCACAGAGCATGTTTGGATATAAATGTTACGTACATTTCTGTCTCATATCTCTTTTTCATCTCATATCTCTTCTCTCATATCTCTTTTATCTGAGAGCGTCTCCTCTTCCATGATACCAAATGTTACCTCTCTATA